ATAACAATATTGACTATTTCATTTATGGCTAGACGTTTGTTGAAAATGCAATTTTATTTGTACATGTAAATCACTAGCCAATGCTAGAGCTTTTATATAAAAAAATACGCACAAAAGTATGTTCATTACTAAAAGTGCGTATCCGTGCAACACAACATCGCAATGCAACCGCTTCGCGCAACAATATGCTATACACAAAGGTTTACATAGATTTACGGAGACAGGGATTCTTATTGAACTAATGCAAAAAAATTAAAGGGTCAAAAGAATTTCCGAAATTTTTCCGTGATTTTTAACAAACTGTATTTAGGAGAAAAATGTTCGTATCCGGAATTAAAAAAAAAGCATTCTGAAGCTCTAAGATTCTAGTTTTTAGACCTCTCGGTCGAAATTTTTTAGCAACATCAACTCTTATCACTGCCACGAACTTCTACGGTTACATAAAGCTTTTTTCTGTGACTACTCCATGTTTGCATTCAATCTGTACTGATTGAACGCTGTGATGATACGTGTCACGTCCAGGCAGATAAAACATAGGCGTGACATGGGAACGCAACATTTCTTCGATGCGCCACTACAAAACCGACAACCGATATTTTTGTTACAGTATGCCGTCGACATCAGCGCGACATGTTACGCTACGAAGTGGCGTTACGATATTCTGTTGCATTTCTGGAGACACTAATATTTTCAACTGCTAAAACTGAGGAGCGTTGTTAAATTACAAATGCTGATATCAATGTTCGTTAAATTTAAGATATGCGATATCACATGCTAAAACTTATATCAGAGTAAGTATCATGCTATAGTCACGTCATTAATTTTCTCATTTGAATGACTGTATCAACTATCGGCTGTATTGGTAAAATGGCTCATTTTAATGTAGATGTCTCTTGTTAACTAACATGCCCGAACAATATTCGCTAACTTTGATTAGCGAACGTTACTACATGAACACATGGCTAACAATGCTCATGTCAGTATGGACCCGGAATAATGAACGTATTCTTTCGTGGCGTTTTCCATTACCACACATAATTTAAAATGTATCTGCAATCCGACCGCAGCAGTTTCGTTCTTTGGTTTAATTTTAATGAACGTGATTCCGCTTTTCGCGCTGTTCGTTTAAATTGGGATGATTTTAATGAATCACACACCATTTTGCTGCCGAGAAAAGTGCAACACTAGGGAATTTAACATTACATCGTTAGAGCTAACGATCCTAGATACATGCAGCTCCACAGAGTTGGCAGTAGATTTCACAGTTGAACTGTTAAAATGATAAAATTTCAATTAATTTTCGATGGAATGTAATGTTACTTGTATGTGATAATAAAAAATAATGTGTGGGGTCCTGAAGGTGGCTTAATTTAGTTCGAAACTATAAGAGAAACTATAAGCCGACAAGGGATAATAAGGCCTATTCACTAAATTCAACCTTACTGAAAGCCTCCTAGTTTTCGAGATATAGACACTTTCTTAAATTTGCGAACATTGCTACATTAAGTCAATATTTTGAGTACCACAGCTACAAAACTGTATATTTTGTTAAATAGTGCATTGCAAAATAAATTTCTCATAATTTTTTTCCCTACTTTGACAGTTGATTTGTTAAATTTGTTAACCTTAATTTATTCAAAATATGTACTGTAAATAAAAGGGAAAAACAAACTATTTAAATAACAAAAATAACAATACAGAAGATATTTAAGTACCATAGTTTTTCGGGCTCTCAAGGGTGATAGTAGATACAAGGTTCATCCCTACACGGAAAATTCAACAAGTGTTAAGGGCAATAAAAGACCGGCTTGACTTTCTGTTTACCCCTGGGGCATACCTATACCATGTAGATTCGGCAAGTTATGACAAAAAGATTGGTTATTACTGTTAAATAAATTTCGAAAACACTGATGTCGAGAATCAATGTAAATTAAACAACATCCAAAGTGTTACATCTTTTAAAGAGCAAGCAAGTGTGACGGAAGAATGCATAATGCACCTCTTTGCGAACTTGGAACCATACGCAACGGCACTAACGATACCGGAGGCGAACGTGTTTCTACACCCACCGTCTTACTGCGCAGGCGTTGAGTCGCTCGCAGCGGTACTAAAGACGTACCCAAAGTCACTCCCTCCGCCCCACTCCACAGGATTAGAGACACGCGCGACGGTACTGATTGATCATCAACGCAAGCTGTACCTCCTACCCACTCCCACTACTGTACTACACAAGCTTAAATGCGCGCGCTGCGATACCAACGTTATAAGACCGGTAACAAGACCTCGACCAGAATTAGTCACGACGAAGCTTCTGCAGGTTCACCAATGAATATGTTACAAAGACCATTACGGAAGGTCTTAGAGAACCACCAGTCTCCAATGAAGATTCCGTGTCCTTAAAACCAGCAACAAGAACCAAAATCGACATCATTGCGAACATAGGGGTTCTGAAAGCGTGTCTGCCTTCACAGAGCCTAATCCAAGAACAACAAGGGAGGGGGTCAAACCTAGCTAATGTTAAGGAAATGTAATGTAAGTCTGTAAGTGGCGGTGACATAGGCGACAACATAACACACCGAAAAAGAATTGTATTTTTAATGTCACAACAGATTTCCGTTGAAATACATATAATATTAATATACAGTGATTCAGAACTTATCCAAAAGAAAAAAAAAATCTGGATGTACAAGGGACTCTTACAAATACAATTTTCTAAAGAAAAAATTAAAAAGGGCAGTTCAAAAATGATTTAAAAATACACTTCTGCACGACATTGGAAACTGGTCCACTGTAAAACTTGACCTGGCACGACGCGACCGTCATGGTGGCAGTGATAAAAACGGACAAAAACTTGAAAGAATTTCGCAAGGAAAGGAATAAATAAGAATTTTATAGCACCTATTTTATATCAGCAAATTCAACTGATTTTGCCGCTGTTATTATTAATTAATAAAATTAATTTGTGTTTTTAAATAATAAAATAATTTGGCATACCTGATGTTACAATTGTTCAAAATTTTGTCCACCGTCACATTTGGGTCTGTCTTACTCGGTTTCTACGAACTAACACAAATGTTGTCTTATTTCACCATAACACAAATGCTTCTTCATAAATTAAAACGATATCCATTAACACCGAGTTGCTATACACACAAGCCATTTTTGACACTAACTACTAAAAAACTATTGTAAACACTATGGCAACGATAACTGTAAAATCGGATTTCAGTCGCTGAGGCCACGTGGCTCTACACGTATTACGAATGACTACACTTGTCCAGCTATGTAATAATTTTTTTCTCGGAAACTAAGGATTTTACAAAACAAAATTTTACCATATTGACTCCATTTCTCATGCCGCATCTATTTTTTTGGATAAGTTGTGAATCACCTTGTGCTAATATTAACATATTAAAAGTCAAAATAAATTCCTTTTGGAGGAAAATAGCAGTATTTTTTTTAATTGGAAAATATTAAGTATTAATATGTACTAAATACATATTTTTTAAGCCAAAGTAGCACTTTGATCTAGTTTTTTCGGCAACATTAACAAGTACGACGATAATCATTTTAAACAATTTTAAAATCTGAGATATTTTGTAAAAAAAAAATCGGGATAGTCATGGATTTTTTTATTTTATTTTTATAACAAAATTCTCACGCAATATTTAACTATAAACAAAACCACACATATCTAACTTTGTAGCTGTTTTACTTTCATGAACTTACTAAGGTCAAATTTATTCTGGCGTTAACTTTTGGAACATCCTGTATATCAAGTACATAAATCCATACAATATTATCGGTTACGGTGTGCACGTGGCGGTTGCATAGCAAGGGCGTCAGTTTTATCAAAAAGAACATTAATAACACCATCTTTGTCCTGTTATGAACAGAAATGTAAATTATATAAACTTCACTCCGGATTAAAATGATAAATTAACAGAAAAATATGAATTCATTAATAATAATTAGAGTTTCTGCGAGACTAGGAAGACAATGAACATGAATTGAAACATTCGTTGAAACGAAAAAGAAAAAGTTTCATTTCAAAAACGTATGGTATTAAAACCGGGTAAAGTTACATGCGATATTTGCTCCGTTAGAGGAAATTGAAATTGGAAATTATCCTCAATACGATTTGAAGCCTTTCCGTTCCTATTTAAGTTCGACGCGTTCTGCTGCGCAACAATTTTTAATGCAGTTACTTTTTCCACTCGCCTTACTATGTAGTTCAAATAATAAAAATCGAAGAGAATTTGTCGACGAGATACAGAAAATACTGACTAATATTAAAAATGGATATCGAAAAAAGAACAATTTCCTTTTAACGTTTTTCCATTGCATCATATTTTCCTGAATCTCTATATTTTACGGTGCATTCATTTAAATTTTCCAGGATTTGATAGAAAAAGTGTTTCCAATTTAATAATGGCTATTTAATATTTTCCGTCTAACGCATAAATAAAATCAATTTTATTAAAATGAACGGTTTGACATGTTGAGTACATGTAAATAAATGTGGACGGGGCGCGTTGATTTTATTTATTCGATTCAAATAAAACCGATTAAAGCAAATAAAGTGCGCAATCCATGCCCGTTTTTATATTTCATGTAATGTTTTAATTAAATCTGCATTTGCAACGCAGCGCGTTGTAAATTTTTATTTTCACCAGAAATATTAAATTGCCAGTTTGCCATTATTAAGCTGTAAATCATGGCAGCTGTATTTGGCATTAAATACGCCGCGTTAAAACTTGTGAAAAACTAAATAATCACTAGCTTCGTTTTTCTAATTAGTCAAAATGTCCAGTCTCTTCTACTGCACTAGTGATAATTGACTTACACATTAAATTAGGATATAAAAGTTAAATTTAAAATAAGTAGGCACCATTTTATTCAACAGAAATCTTGTTGGAAACCTGCAGTTAAAATAAATATTCACAACAAAACCTATATAGTTGATGATGATTCAATAACCCATTTTTTTTTTTTTTCAGAAAATAACCCCAATCCTGTTGCTCCTCAACAACAACTCGAAGAAAGTGAAGAAGGTAACTTCAGTGTTTATTCTGCTTTACCAATAATTTGCTACAACTATTTCCTTTTCAGAGGACTATGATGACGATGAAGAAGAAGGTCCTCAGTACTCGGAAACAGATTTTAAATTTGAGGATTTCACGAAAAGGTAACTTGCTTTCAATAGTATTTATTTATTGCGTATTGCGTCTTTATCTTGCACTACAACTGACAGCTGTTTCCATGCAGCACAAACATTTAATTCGGTACACATAACGTTTTATTGATTTTTTTAATTTTTTCCTCCCCAGACTGCCCCATCCAAAAATAGTGCGAGCCTGCGGACTGGCATTAGCGCGCTTCGAGACAAATTCAGTGAACACGAACCACTGTATCGTTAAATTGCTGCACAGGATCGCGTTCGACTGTAAAATGTACGTCATGGTGTTTCAAGTCAGTATTTTTAGGTCCTTCCAGAGGATATTCCAAATGAAGGAGTTGCCCCAGAACAATGTAAGTTAGAAAAACGTTGCGGTCCTTAAAGACATTGTGATAATAAGGGGGCTTAACATTCCTTTAAAATAAAAGTTCTTAGGAATCTACTAGATACTGAAACACATAAAAAATGTTAAATTTGTAATTTTGCAGTCAATTTAACTCGACTTGCAAAATTCATTTGAAAAACATTGAATACTAGGCTCCTAGTAGCTAGTCCGTAAGTCTGGAAAGTGTTTACAGCGGTGGTCATGGTTAACGTCACGCAGCAGTAAAAGACGGAGCGAGACTAGCGCATATTTACTGTATAGTTTAATTAGTATCTTCCATTTTATTCGAAAAATGAGCCATTATTGAGTAATTATTTTTTAACATTAAAAAAAACCTTATTTGCTAGAAATTGATTATGAAATAAAATACAGGGTCGGAAAGTCCCCATGGTTCATCGGCCGTTACGTGAGAGCGATAAAGTAAGTCATAGAAATCCGTGCGATAGAGAAAGATGGCTATAATGAAGGCGTCTAATAGTTGGATCTTATTTGTGGAAGGGCGAAATGGGCGGTGACTATTAGACGCCTTCATTATAGCCATCTTTCTCTATCGCACGGATTTCTATGACTTTCTTTATCGCTCTCACGTAACGGCCGATGAACCATGGGGACTTTCCGACCCTGTATAATATAATATCATGAAAAGTCCAAAAGAAATCAATGGTGTAAGAATTTTAAATTTTAATAAATAATAAGTAATAATCCACTGGAAATATTGAAATTGCTATGCCAATGAATCTTTTTTTAATTATATTTTTAACAAAAAAACTATTTTTTATGAGGCGAAGTGTTTTGGTGTTATTTTTTATTTATAATTACTCAAATATCACTCGTTTTTCGAATAAAATTGAAGTAAACTTTTTTCTTAGAAACGCCAATCGGAAATAGAAACACAAAATATTCAGTGACACCGAAATTTTGGGGTTCTTAGCTATAGTGTCTTCCAGCAACTCCGCTACTGGTATACAGATTTGTGCAACTTAGTAAATTGTTGCCCGTAAATAGTTATAGTTGCCCCAAGTTTTATCAGTATACGTCAAACATTGTAAGAGATATTTAAATGTGATATTTTTGCATTTCAACATCGTATCTTGAAAACGGTGTTTATACGAAAATTTTTTTTATTTAAAAGTGTACTACCACCAGGCTAAAAAACAAATCTACATCAAACACATTTCGTGATACTTGCGAGAATAAAATTTTCTACAAAAGCTTTGACACACCGGAATTTGAAAATTGAGCCTAAATAGATATACCTACTCGTACTTTCAAGACAATTTTTTCTTTAAAGTAATCGATATCAGTTCCTTTATTATTGCGATTTACCTTAATGACCACTTTGTGCAAAATACAGGGTGTTTTGATCGTACATTGCACCTCTGTCAGTCACAAAAACTAGAATTGTAATTTTGCTTTAAAATCTTTCGCAGGAGTTGGTGACGTTTGCAACTTACATAATCAGACAGTTTTTGAAAGTGGCCGAAACCAACAAAATGGTTTTCATGGAAGCACTATTTTGGAAATCGACCAGAGACGCGTATGAAATTGAACAGGGCTACGGCAGCTACCGCCAACCGTAAGTGTAGCAAAAAAAGCTAATTGCCACAATACCTGGTTCAATGTCTCTTAAATTATTGCAGATCCGCCGCTTCCTGGACAGAAGATCAAGAGAACGAGTTGCGTCAATTGATGCTGGAATACCGACAACGTCAACTAGAAGAGGGTAAGTCCATAAATTCTGCAAAGAAAAAAGCGATAATACACATTAACTCTTCCAAATATTTTTCTAATTTCAAATTAATTTCAGTAATATTCATATTAATTTCTATTAGAACTGCATAAATTTATAATTTATAACCGACAAGTACTAGTGGCAAAAAATTATGTAAAAATTTAATTTTTTCATGTGAACAACGCATTGTGACGTCATTCAGTGCGAGCGAGTACATGACCTTCTTCTTATCTGTCCGCCACCTAGCTACAATTCCCGTCTAAAGTGAATTTGGATGTTTCTAGACACTTGTTACTTACTATACTTATGCTGTGGGGTCTTCTCGATTATCGATTGCACTAAATGACGTCACGAATTAGCCCGGCAACAAACACCCGTTTGAAACATAAAATTTCTGGTTCCAAGTTTCTCACTTTCTGAATTTATTCTCGTCTCATATTAGCGTACTAGCATTAAAAACTTCCTTAAATGCTGAACCAGTCTTACAATCATTTTCTTATTCTATATTTGGTCGAGATAATCTATCTGTTGTAGCTGTTTTACATTAACAATTTATTGATCAATTAATTCATGAAGTCGCTTCATCAAGAAATTGGAGAAGTGTAATGCACCAAATCTGCTGTCAAATAACTTCATGAATTTATTCATCAAGTTTTTGACGAATTAGAGCATGCTCTAATTTTCGTCAATTTCTTCGTGAAGTTCGGAAGTACCAACCCAACAGATTTCCAGCCTCAGATCAGTAATGACGTTATGTTATTGGAATACGTAAATAATTGTGTGGCGTCGTACTAGTTTTGCATTGTTTTTACTGATTTGTTACTTACAAACACTAATATTTATATAATATGTTTCAAAACGGTACCGCTGTTGTATCACTACAATTATGAGTGGAAAGGTGACATTTTTGAAATTTATTTGCTTCTTTGATTCGTTGGTAGAATTAATTCATGCGTCAAAAAACTTGACAAAGTCTGTAGCAGTGTAAACAGTGTAACAGCTATTATATAATACAGTTGGCTTAAGACAGGTAACAACCGACAACACTGATAAGCGAGTTGATACGAGTTCGTGTCCTGCACTGTAGCGGCGTAGACAAAATTTTAATTGCTCATACAAAATGTTTCCTTATCTGCACTAAAAACCTCATCATAAATGATGAATGCTATAGCAAAGAAATGTACATTTGCTATATTTTCCTCCATATCAGAAATAAAATGCCCACACTATGATTCCATGCCGCACCGCTCTCACTATAGTTTTGTTTTCTGCGCCGAGCTTTCACATATTCATAATTACGAATTAACCCCGCTAGGGGAGCGTGCGGCTGGAGAGGGGGGCGAGTCCATTAAATCTCTCCCGCCGGAACAATATAAAATTCCCTTTGTACCCGTCACGTTTGAATGACGTTTCATTTATAGACGTGGTCGGCTGGATCGTTAATAACCTCATTGACAACACCAGGACGAGGCGGGCGGTATTGGGAAAGCTCAAGGAAATGTCCCTCCTTACCGACGACTACAAAGGCAAAAAGAAGTCCGGCACTAGGGTGGCGCAGCCCCAGAGCTGGGGCGCCGAGGAGGAGACGCAGCTGCGGGAGCTGTACGAGGAATTCAAGGACGCCACCGGTGAGTCTTCCCCTTCGTACAAAAAAAAAAAGAATTTACTGTCTGCCGTAAGTCAGCGGTTTCCTAATATAAAATAGAAAAAAATGGTAGGATCTCGGGTATTAAGTTGATAAATTATTTTACCAGATTCATTCTGAAATCACTTCTGTATATTAAACTAAAACCTCTCGTTGTTTTAAAAAATATGTTTTAAAGGTTAAACAATTTCTAAACCACGTAATTCAACGTAAAAAGATTTAAATGTTGTGAGGACTTTTAATAATCATTTCAAAATGTCAGGGAAAGTAACTTACAATGTCGTTGATAAATATTATAAAAATAAGTGGTCTTAAGATGGAACCTTGCGGTACGGTACGTCTCATATTTTTTTATTGGGCTAAGATTGTCGAGTCTCTATCCCCAAATTATATATCGGTTAAGTGGATACAAAAGAAAATATTATTTTGAGAAATCGTTTTTCCGCATTTAATATCAAAATCTATTCTACAGAGTCTACAGAAAAAAAAATGCACACACTTGGTACCATCAGACTTTTTTTTTGTTTTGACTTTTCAAAGAACATTTGTAAGGTTAGAAGTTCACATATAATAGACAATTGAGGTGGTGCTGCAAAAAAATTTTTTATTTGTAACAGCATCTACAAGCATATGAAGAGGCAGACCGAGTGTGCTGTGAGACAAGATCAGACAAAAAACAGAATACTTCTAACTATGTTATTAAACAGTTTCTCTATATAGGATATAAAAAGTTTGACTGCCATTACTTCAGCCATGAGATAGAGTAATCATAAGTCAACAAAAAAAGTTGTATATTACAGGGAAGTAAGATTAACAGTAATACAGAATATATGCACGGGGCAGACTTGTCCTACGGAAAAAACGTAAACAACTATTATTGTGAAACATTTAGTAAATTTCAAGACAATTGTTTTCCATTTTTTAAATAAAAAATAAAATGTATCGATTTTGTAGTACGAATATAGTATTGTGCTTAAATTTTAGCTCGAATTTTAGTAATTATGGATCTCTTAAAACAGGAACTTAACTTTTAATCAAATTATGAATTCGAAAAATATGTAATTAAAGTACCCAAAGATTCACGTCGTCCAAATAATCATACGTATTAAAAATAATTTAGGTACTTACCAAAAAGCAAAATTCAGTAATTTTTAAATGCACAAGTACAAAACTAATTACAGCATATGCTCCGTATGTCCACCACCATTTTCGATACACGCACGACACGTTCGAATTCAATTCTCGCGCACTCGCTGGAAAACGCCTAAAGAAAAGGAAATAGTGGTACGCAAAAAGCACTCAGACACGGTCCAATTCCAGATACCAACTGAATTGTGTATTGCTGGCTGGACAGCTTAGTACATCGTGTTATTCGCCGCGCCGTTCGCATTGCTCGATATGAATTTTATTGAATTTTAAATTTATTACAACGCTAATTATTTTTTAGAATTAAGTATAAAGAAGTTCAAAAAAGTGATAAACATTGTATTTTATGGTATTCTGTGCACGCAGTTATGTCAATATTCCTTAATTAATCGAACTTTTGTCCAACAAATTGGAGATTTTAATAATTTTTTTCTAGGAAATGGTCGAGTTTAGGACCCCTGTCATATAAGGTTTTTTTTTGTTTATTTTAATGTATTCTATCGTCTGTTAAAATTAAGGCAGTCAAACTTCTAACACCCTATATAATGAATTTCCCTGGTCTAATCACATTTTTCATATCTCATAAATCACCGAAAAAAAAAACGTATTTTATTGTAAACTCGCGTTTATTCACAGACCCACTGGGCTGCATTATGCCCAGATTGGAAATATCGAGACCAAAGAACAGGATTATCGAAAAGATGCTAGTTATGGGCCTGGTTCAGGATAAAAAGGAACTTTGGAAGAAAAGGGTCAAAGGGCCGAAATCTGGAAAGCCGAGATGTAAGTATTTCTTTCTTTAATCTCTGTATTTTTCCTATAAAGAGCCAAATTGAAAGGTGTGTCTATTTCATTCGTTCGTTATCAGCAAAAATTTATAAATTGTATAAGTGGCTTAGAATTACTCACTGATTCGTTTTCGGCAGTACAAGTTAAGAAGGGGGTGTAATTCCTGCTCTCCAAATAAATCAAATCCACAACGCTGCGTCTTATCTATATTAGGTACAAGGGAGCTAACGGAGCTAACAAATTATGACACATTTGATAAAACGGCGCCGTTATGTGGTAGGGGTCGCTTGTGTGGATGTTAAAATAACGGATGACCGCAACAAATGACACCTTACTTCGTAAAAGGCGTCTCCTTTGAACGATCTGTTTTAAAATACACTTTAAGGACACCTCACCGCATATCAAGTCATCTAATTTGCAGAGAAAAGATTTAGATGTCACCGCTACTTGGAAAAAGAGCAAACGCCTTGATAATGAATCGGGAAAGCGAAAATATTTGTTTTTAAACAAGGGACATCTGTATCGGATGAAAAACAACTTGTTAAAAGTGATATACCAAGATGAGAAAAAAGAAAAAAGGATATTCTCGTGAACTAAAATCGGTTCGCTTGGCATACGACGTCATGTGGAGGGTGATTTAAACGGTTCAATAAAGTTTATGCTAATAGTCATTCGGCGGCTCTTATCTTTTTAAAATAGCAATTTCGGAAGCAAATTTCGAATATAATCCGATGTTTTAAATTACCTTAACAAATCCGACCATTTTCCTTGTAAGCATAAATATACAAGCATCACAAGTTGTCTGTTGTACTCGTACAACTGAAAGATCGCTATTAATAGACATCAATGTCAATAATCACCACAGGAATCTAAAATTTTATAAATAGATCAGTCACAAACACGTAATACAAATATGAAGTGTACACTCCACGAATCGATATTTACTCTCCACGTGACGTCATAGCATGGTTACGAATATGTGTAATATATTCAGTTTAAAAAGATTGTTATGAAAACCTCTAACGAGTTCAGAGTTCTTATTATAGGAAAAGTTCTTACATAATTGTAGAACCTTTCAATTCTAGTTATTAAAATTCTAAATTCCTTCATAACGACTATAAATATAAGTACCTAGAACTTAGACTAGATGCAGTTAATCGTTATAAAGCGTTTGGAGCACCTGCCATCTCTTCCACCAGCTTGAGGGGGTTGGTCGCGACCCGCACTTGATGGACCACTGCCCCAGGAAATACCCTGAAATGCACATCCCCTTAATACATTTTAAATTTCACCCTACAAGAAACGCTCAGGAGCCCCCGCCCCTCATCACATCATTCAGCCTACAAGAACTAGAAAGCATGTCGAGTTGGCTATTAAACCGGGAAAACACGTAATAAAATCTGCGAGTGAACGGATACAAAAAAATGGTGGAAGACGTGGGGTCAGGTTGGACTTGCCGGCATCGACGCAGTTGGGACAATGCGGCGACTTCGCAGGAAAAGAAAAGCGACGGCACAATAGGGAATAAGACCTTACGTATCACGGGAAAACTAAGCTTCAAACCCACCGCCGCCGCCGTCGGTGAAAAGTACTAAAGGTTGCCCGCACTTTTGTTTGAGATTCTTTTGCTCCGCTCCGACGGCTCGTAAAAGGTGCGGAAGGGAGCGGAGTTTGTGTTGCGAGTGGGATTCGAAAAGATGGCTTTGTAACATCGAGGTGCGTATTTTTTCAATTGCGGTGTAATTTGCTCTAATGCATACTTGACGTTATGTAGTTTTTGTGTAAAATTTTGTATATGCGGTGTTTGCGCTGAGATTGGAAACTTTCAACGTGAATAAATATATGGTCCTTGCTTATATGGTTATATTATGGTCCTTGCCCAAGGAAGAGTTGATTATCTAGTAAAAGAGTCATTTCTATAAGTGAAACTTTAAATAAAATAAGTATTGTATAGACAGGCAAACCATTTCCATACATTCAAGACGTTCAAGACCTTCAAGGTCAAACTCAAGGCCACCAAGTGGTGGTCCCGATGACACAAAGGAACTTTTATAGTGGTCATTTTCGCAATAGTTTGCTACCCTGACGAGGTACCCACCTGAGAAGTTCGAGAAGGGTATTTGACCTTCAAAAGACCTTGAAATGAAAAAAATACTCAACCACGTCTCTAAACATAAAAGTTCTCGCTCTTTCAGAATCCAAGGTCAGGAATTGTAAATAATCATGAACATGAACTATCTTCTTCAAACAGATACCGGATTCGGATTCAGCGACCCCTAAAACATATGGGTATGGTGGTCTAGTCTGTCACATATAGAACTTTTTTTATGTGAGGCAGTGTAACATTAGCTAAATAATAATTTCAGCGTCATCATTGTACCGATACATTACATCATACAGAGTACTAAAGAGACGATAATGTGAATAAAACGACTGTTGTAACTGAGATCATCAATATTGTTCTTAAAAATTTGTATTAAAATAATAAATTTAAAATGTGGTTGCAGAGTTTTAACGGCAAATTCCATTGTCAAAACGCAATAAACCTCCTTTTATTTTTGACGGCAAGATGGAGATTATTGAAAAACTACATAATGGAGTGTTCTGTTGAGTTAATTCATTTGGGAAAATATTAAATGAAATTGCTGGATGTTTTGGTTTGTCCAAAGATCATTTGTAACTCCGCTTGCAGATGCAGGCGGAGATGTTTTATAGTTATAGAGGCGTTGTTGCTGGAAGTTATCGATGGTGGTAGAATTTTACGTAAATGAATTCAGAACAAAACTGCGATATAAAATCAAATTTTCAAACGCTAATGTGCTAAATATATTAAACTTTTCACAAGATGAAGTCTATGCTGCGATAAAACTGTTATGTTTTCAATTATATTCCTTTTTAAAATCATAAATAACACGTTAAATGCAGACTCGTTAGTCTCAAGGATTTTATATCATGTTCCTAGACTTAATTCTAGATTTCACTCCGTTTTACAATTACCCACACCTCGTACCAATTTACTAATAGCATCTCCCCTATATCAAATGATTTCCAATTACAAGAAGTATGAAGATCGACTTGATATATTTTTTCATTGTATGAATGACAAAAAAATTGTTTGTCTAGTAAATGATAATCCTTATATGTTAGTTAGCTTATTTGTTTTATTTGTCTGTTATTGTTTATCCTTAAGTTCTTTGTCTGGATTTTATATTTTGATTGCTCTATGTTATGTAGTATTTATATTTTTATATTTAATGTTAGTTTGTCTTTTTCTTTTAAAATTTAGTTAAGGTTTTCTGTTTTACCTTATCCTATAATTGGGACTTTGTCCCGTTGGATATTTAAATAAATAAATAATAAAACAAATTCAGCCAAATATGATAACCGGGCCTGATTTAATACCGGCATTTTTTATAAGGGACTGTGTCTCTGCATTTGCTGCCCCATTAACAAATATCTTTTATTTATTAATAAAAACTTCTTGTTATCCTGAATGTTGAAAACTGTCTAGAGTGTGTCCAGTGCACAAGAAGGGCAGTAAGAATGAATTGGTCAATTTCTATTATTTACAATTTCTCCAAAATATTTAAGATTCTATTTCATGGCTTTTTATACAGATTCTTGTCTGGGCTGTTGTCGTGGGAGCAACACGGTTTCATTAAGGGCAGATCCATTGTTACTAATCTTGTCCAAAAAACTTTATTATTAGCGAGAAACTTGACAAGTTGAAACAAGTCGATATTATATATACCGACTCCAGTAAAGCTTTTGGCAGACTCGACCACGACCTCTTACTGTACAAACTAGATGGGTTTGATGTGTCCAAATCACTTTTGCAACTTTTTGAATCGTATTTACAAAATAGGTATCAGTTTATTCAGTATCGTGGTTTTAAATCGTACAAGTTTCATCAAATATCTGGTAAGCCTCAAGGATCTATACTATACAAGTACACCATTTAATATGCAGATAACCTTAAGCGAAATAAACATCATTGTCGATCTCTTTTGTTGTTTGGCTAATGATTTAAAAAATGATTTATTATATAGTCATATATGCCTTATAGTTTGTATAGTTTTCATAGTTCATTTTTCTCTCTTTTAACTTTTTTTATATTTTATTACTAGACTTGACATATCGCCTGTTGGATGTATATTTTAAATTAAAAAAAAAAATCCGCAGATAGCCAGTTAAACAAGGAAGCAATCTCAAACAATTTTTTTGAACATTTCCCTCATGTCGGCAATAAAATTAAAAATTATTACTTAAAACAGGATGAAGATTACATTGGAACAACATTCTGTTTCATCGGCTGTGATTGATGTAATTGTTCACTAAATTTTATTCAACCAATCAGCCATCGCATTTTCTCGAGCATAGACGTAATGGTTTGTCATTGTTCATTGTAAACAAAACATTAATATTGGTGACGCCCTGCAAAGCTCGCCGGTCACCTGACTTGTAAACATTATGAAGGCGCCGTACTACATCGAGGAATTATGAGTAGCATAGAATTCTTATTGAATCATGTTAATTGCAAAGTAGTCAAATAATAATAAATTGTTATACCGAGTAATGAATAAAATACTAATGTTCTTGCGACCTTCTAACTGAAAGCTAGCTCAGCTCAGCAATGGGGGTGGGATTGATATAACTGAAAATAATTCTCTTAAGGCGCCACCCGTTTTATAACCCGATGGACAGTACGCAAGAATGCTGGAGAGACGGCGAAACCTTACAGTACAAAAAAAAACGGGAAAAGGTACAAATAAAAGCCCTAACAAAGTAACTATACAAACGGTAACTTTAATTTATCTAAATGGCCGGTGCCTAAAGGCTACAATCGCTAAATCAATTTAGTTGTAAATATTGGCCGATTATGCACCTCTTAGGTATGTTTGGCAAAATAGTTTTAACTATAGGTTTAAATAATAAGGATAGTGATAACCCTCTCCGATAGCGCTATTGGTTCGGTGTACAGACTTTCGAAGAAA